ATTCTCTTCCCAGTGACTCTATTTGCATGTCCTTGCAACTTTTCTGTTAACGAATCCTCACTCCTTAAAATGGAAACTAGATGATGGCTTCTATTTGATTTTAATGTTGTAAATAGACTGTTGGATCAGACGGTTCTCAAACATTTTCATCGTGTGGTCCATATATGAAAAGAGAGATTATCTCATGGAATACAAACCCTGTCCCATTCCCAATAGCATTGACCAACTCCTCCTTCTCTCATCCGCAATCACATAACATCCCTATAGCAATTGCTTACCTGCAAAAATGATACCTGGAAAGAATTTCGTTCTTAGCTGTATTACTGAAATTTAATAGATGGTAATGAGGAGGAACCAGCATTATGTGATCAGCCAGCTCTCTAGCAACTGGCACAAAGAGCTCCATAGACTGCAGCTGGGAGCCTGTACCCTAGATATATATTTTGCTGTATGTTGGGATTGTTTTTGTTTGTGGGTTACCAATTTACTGGTATCTTTTTATATAGCTGCTGGGGAGGGGAAAAATATTTTCCTCTGCATACACAGACATTTTAAAACAGAACAGAGATAACATCTGAGAAAGCCCACCTCATTTCAGACTAGGTCTGGATGAGAATTTAGCAACTGGAATGGAACTAACCAGAGTATTTGATTTCTCTCACAGACACAGACACCCCGACCTCACTCACCTGCAGAATAATTCTGGGAAATAACTGACAGTGGGTAAGAAAAATTGAAAAGGAACATACAGAGAGAGGTTCCTCCCACATGTGCAGGTGGTTGTGTCAAAGGGCTTGTCTACTACCCAGGACTTTATTGGGAATATCTCCCAGCATTGCAATAGTGCTGGTGAATCTTCACTGGTGAGCCCTGGGAGAACTGGTGTAGTGAGGGCAATAGCATTCACTCGCTTGTTACCACTATTTCTTCTAGACCTGCTCTGAGCAGGATTAAGTGACACCATCATAAAAATGCCAGCACTAGCACTGCTGCACTTGGTGTCCTTGGTGGGGCTGTACTGGTGTTAGTGCAACAGCGGGAGATTTCACAAATTACATCCATCGTTGTCTTTTTACCTAGCAAATATACCAAGTCATAGTCATATATTATATAATATGGTAGTTATAATATGATTTGGTCTTGCCAGTATGGAGAGAGCAAAACTGAATTTTAGCCATAGTCTAATCATGATGCATAATAACTTGCACTGGTGTTGCACTTTCCATCCAAGTATTTCAATGTACTTTAATGAATTAAGCTTCAATGTCTATGTGAGGCAGGTATTATTCACAGCTGGAGAAACTGAAACTCGGAGAGGATAAGTGACTTGGTCATGCAAGAAAGGGTGTGGAGTTGCAGGGGGCAGAGACTTGGGAGAAAGAGGAGGAGCAGGGGGTGGGGTCACAGTCCTGGTGTTTTTTCCCCCCACTTCTACACAGGTTTCAACACCCCTGTGGGGGCTCCCAAATTGGCCAGGACCCTGGGCATGGGTTCCATGGGCCCATGCATTAATCCACTACTGAGTAGAGCAGAAGAATTATGTGTCATGTCTTGCTTACCATACTACTACTAATACATCCAAGAATGACGTTCACTTTTCTTGCAACAGTGTTACATTGTTGACTTGTATTTAACTTGAGATTCACTATGACTCTCAGATCCCTTTTCACAGTACTCCTTCCTAGGCAGTTATTTCCCTTTTTGTATGTGTGCAATTGATTGTTCCTTCTTAAGTGGAGTACTTTGCATTTGTCTGTATTGAATTTCATCCTATTTACTTCAGATCATTTTTCCAGTTTGTCCAGATCATTCTGAATTTTAATCCTATCCTCCAAAGCACTTGCAACAGCAGGAAGGGAAGCTGTTTAACCCCATCTCTTTTATAGCAGCTTAGATAACCCTGTCTCATGCCAACTGGGATCACCCTAACGCATCACCATTCAGACACTTCAGTGATGAGCGATAAATAACAATATAAAATAGGACATGGAAGGCTATAGACTAACAATGGTTTCTGTGATAGGTTGTAAGGACTGGTCAAAATCTCCCCACTTCTAGAACCCAGGAGAGTGAATAAAAGAGAAATAGAATAATCATCCTCTCGCCTCCTCGTTTTTCTATTTTAAATGCGCAACCATAATTATACATTATGTGACAGACCCAGACCAGTGGGGTACAGGAGTCTGGTAGAGGGCAAATATACTGGTCACTGGATGAGTAGTTTTCTGTTCCCTGAGTGACCAGAGCAGGGGCTGCACTAGAGGAATCAGGAACCTGCTAGAACCAATTAAGGCA